GTGTGTGTGTGTGTGTGTGTGTGTGTGTGTGTGTGTGTGTGTGTGTGTGTGTGTGAATGTGAACAGACGCCTTTGAGTGCGCGTGTGCGTGCACGGCACAAGCGTGTTGCTCAGATTTGTGTCAGGTGCAGCGGTAAGGGGCAACTTGAAGACTCACTGGGCCTGACACGACGCCCTGGGGCGACGCATGCTAGGCTTTGACTCCCCCAAGCATTAACACGGCCCACCCAACCCGCTCCAGGCCCGTCCTGCTTTCTGTGCTGTCGGACCTTTTGCCAGACGCGCGCGCGCGCCCTTTCTTCCTGGAGTGGCGCTCGCCCCGTGACGCGTCTGTCACCCTGCCAGGACTGCTGCTGGCCGTGTGGGCAGAGCTAGACCGCGCGAGGGGCATCTCGGATGCTGCGGGGCTGCTGGCGTCAACCGAGAGGCCCCTTGCCCTTGGTAGTGTGTGCAGAAGCAGTGGCGTCAGCGTCGGCAATACGGGCAGTCACAGTGGGGGCAGCTGCGGCGAGCTGCCGCCGAGCCTTGCCGCCACCCTTGCTGGCGCCGCCGACGAGGCACGCTTTGGCGGTGCCCCGGCATCAACCCCAGGCGTGAGCAGCAGCCCTGGTCCTGCTGTGCGGCTCCTGCGGTCAGCCGAGCGTGGGCGCGCGGGGTCGGCGGCGTACGGGCTGCTGCTGCCCGAGCGACGGCGCCTGGTGGAGCGGTTCGCGGCGGCTTGCGACGGCGACGCACTCATGGACAAGGTGCGGTGATGCACGCCGTACCGCACCCGTCTAGCCAAGTGGCTGGGCTGCACCTCAGGGGTTTACTTGCCCAGGGCAGGGTTGCAGACAGGGCACCACAGACCGGCTGTCCTGCGCGTGGACCACATTGAACGCTGCTTGGGGTGCACGCCAAGGCTCCTCTCTCTGGCTTCAGGCCGCCTGCCAGCGTCCCGCTCTTGTGCATCTCACACTCCCCCCTCTCCAGATAACACCCAACCACACCGAATTGTTCCGCCCGTTCCATATGAACCAGCTGCTCAACTTGACCGGTGGTACGACCCAACCATGTGCAGGTGTATGCATGCCTGTCCCAGGCCGGCTTTGACGCGGTCGCCCCGCTGCTGAGTGCGCCCCAGTCGGCCGCCCTGGCGGTGGTGCGGGAGTACGTGAGGCTGCGGCAGGGGGAGGTCTGGCGCGACATCGCGGCGGCTTTCGAGGCCGAGGGGCTGGCGCCCAGCCAAGAAGACTGGTGGGTTGGCGATCTGCGATGGTCAAGCACGACTGCCTGTTTTTGACCGGAGCTCCGGCCGCAGCAAGCAGCCATCACGTGACCCCTCGCACTCCTGCTGCCCCACCCCCTCCGCGTTAGTGTGGGTGTGTGTTGTGGGTTCGGGTGTCCATAAACCTGCCCCTCTGCCCCTGAGCCCCACCCCCTTCGTCGTCTATTGACTGCGATCTCATTCCATCTCCCAACACCCTGCCGTGATTGCAGCGCTCGCATTGACTCGGGCATCCGCGCGGCCGAGTCGCTGGCCGCCTCGGTGCGCACCCACCAGGAAGCTCTCCTGCGGCAGCACGCCGCCGAGGCCGCCGCGTCGGAGGCGGCTGGCTACGCGGCCGCGCTGGCCCAGGCGGCAGCAGAGGCAGAGGCCAAGGTGTTCAGGCGGGACACGGTCAAGCTCACAATGAGGGAGCGGCTGGCGGCCAAGGCGCAGCGCGAGGACATGCTTCGGCGGTCAGTGGTGGCCGCGCGGGAGGGGGACGGGGCGGGCGGTGGTGGGGCTGCCGCCGGCAAGGAGGGGAGGGTGCCGATGCTTGTGTAAGACAAGGCGGCGCTGTTGCAGCCGGACTTTGTCCACCTTTCAGCAGAGCCAAGTTGATTTGGAGACGGACAAAGAAATCAGGAGACGTTTCAGCCTGCACACAGGTATGTGATGAGGAGCCTCGCTGCCACATGCAATCCACTACCAGCCTCCTGATGAGGGATGTGATGCTTTACAACAGCCGCCGCATGCATGCATTGGCTGCAAATCACAAGGCCAAAGAGGTGCCTGGCAATAATGCTGTCAGAAGGCAGCATGCTGATCGCCCCCTGATATTGTTGTGGCCAGACGGCAAAGAAAAGCGCAACATACAGGGTACAGGCAATGTGCAACATGTATCCAAAACTGCCTGGCCTGGTTACAGAATGGCTGGGCAAGTCCAGGGAGTGGGGCGTCGTAACATCCTCCCAAGTGGCGTACAATGGCCTGCAAATACCAGTCTTAAAAAACACCTTATCACCTCACCCTGCATCATCCCTGAGGCAGCATCCAAACCTCAGATGGACGCGAATGGCAGCAGCACCCCTGCCAACCCCTCCGTCCCCACTCCCGCCTCTGCAAGCGCGGCAACCGCGGCCGCGGCGTCCTCGGCGGCAGGGTCACTTATAGGCAGCGCGGCAGCTGCGTCGTCCACGAGCTGCAGCAGCCTCGCCAGCCGGTCGGCCTCAGAGCTCGCCAGCGCCTCCACCACCGCCGGCGCCGCCGGGGCCTGCAGCGCGCGCGCCAGGGATCCGGCGCTCATCAGCACGGCGTCGCCGGGCGCGGCCGCCGCGGGCGCGGGGCGCGGCGGGGGCGTGAGGCCGCCGGGAGGCACGCGCAGGGGCGGGCGCGGGGGCCCCGGCGGCGGCTGCTGCGGTGCGGCAGAGGGGCAGGCCGGCAGACGGGGCCCAGCGCCGGACGGTGCTGCTGCAGTGTTTGGCGTCCCCGCCGCCCACTCACCGCGGGCTGCTGCGTTGCCGTCCCGCATCTTGAGGGCGCTGGCGGCGCTGGTGGGCGCGCGCTGCAGCGCCTGCGCCTCGCCGGCCGCCGCCAGGGCTGGGTACAGGGACCGCTCCTGGGGCGTTTCCAGTGGCGGCGGCGCTGGCTGCACATGGGGCAAGATGGGGCGGGTGTGCAAGGCGTCAGGGCACAGCGTAAAGCAACAGGGTGTTGAGTGACACTCAAAAGGTACCCCTTATCAGCAGAAGGGCAGACCAAAATGTGCCGCGCCCATTCAGATGTGCTCGCCCGCAAAAAAACGCAAGCACAATAGCGGCGCTGCGACGAGGCGATCGGCGCTCACGATTATGCCGCCGCGAGACGTGTCTGGGCCGAGTGCCATGCGTACGATGGTGCCGCTGTACTGACGCGATGACTGCAGCGCAGGCGCAACGAGCCGCTCCTCCCCAACGGCGTCGCCGATGCCTGCTGCCACTGGGGGATCCCCGCACCCCTGCTGGCCCGCCCCGTCTTGTTGAGAAGGGTGTGTGTTGTGCGTTGGGCTGACCGGCAGCGGTTGCACTGGGGGCAGCTGCTGCTGCGGCTGCTGCTGCTGCTGCTGCTGCCGCTCCTGCTGCTGCTGCTGAGGCGGCGGCTGCTGCAGCTCTGGCTGCTGCTGCGGCTGCGGCAGAGGCTGTGGCTGATGCCCGGGCAGCCCAACGCCGCCGCTGCCGCCGCCGCCCCTGGCCACCATGGATGCCAGCTCCGCCGCCAATGCGTTGCCCTCCTCATCCGGCACCTCAGGATCAGTAATGGCCGCGACCGCCAGGCTGGCGAGCAGATGCTCGGGACTATCAGATGCCGCCGAACCCCCGCCCCGCACACATGCCGTCCGCGCGGCTGCAGCGCAGCCGTTGCTGGCGGCGCGGCCGGCGTACTGCGAGTCGTGAGGGGCCGGCGGCGCGCCGCCGTGGCTGTCGTCAGAAGAAGTAGAGGCGCGCTCCTCCTTGCAGGCGCGAGGCAGTGAGTGCGGCGCGCTCGAGGGGGGGTTAGACTGCGCACTCGCGCTCTCCGGGGCACACTGTGCGCCTGGTGGCAACAGGGCCCGCCGCAAGCTGAGCTGCTTCATCAGCTGTGCATTGGCGCACAGAGCGGCGCCCTCATCGGGCAGCGCGTCGCCGGCACCGTCTGTGGCTGGTGCCGGCTTCTGCGGTGCCGCGGATGTCGAAAGCTTGCCGGGCGACGCCGGGCGCTCGGCCGCCGGAGGGGCGGCGACGTTTGCGATCATGAGCTTGATGGCCTGCACGGCCCCTCCAAACACGGGTGGCTGCGGCGGTCCGCCGACGCGGGTGAACACGCGGCTGGGTGCTGTCTCGGTCAGGGCTCCGCTGCCCCAGAAGCTGAGGCGCCTGGGACTGCTGCTGGTCCTGCTGGGCGGCTTGGAGTGCTGCTGCCCCATAGATCTGATTGCAAGACCTGCGTTGGGCGATGCAATCACAATGTGCAATGATCGCTACGTGGCAGAAGTGTGGGACGGCTTCGAGCTATGATTGATGGGGCTCGAGCAAAAAGTGACGGTGTTGGAGCCGCGACGTCACAGTCCACGTCATCCCCGTGCAACGACGCTCAACGCCAAGATAATCATATACTAATAAATTAAAAGTCGCGTTTATCTTGGTAACACTGCATGGGCGCCACTGACCTTGACTGGGGCACGAGTCAAACTCGTCAGTGGCGCCACAATCATGACATCAGGCTGCCTCCGTGTATACAGCATGGTTCCGCAAAAGAATCACATCAACAACTGCTTGTTTCTGCCTCTGTTTAACTCCAAGTTACTCTGCAGATGGGAGCGGATTAGTGAGCCGCCGCGCGCCACACCACACAAGGAAATGTTGAGGGCGGCCCCAAGGAAATAAACCGCTGCAGGTGTTTGCGCGGTCATTTCTAGTTGGCAGCACGGCGCTGTGCCGAGCTGGGGGCATCAGCAGGGGGCGGTTCCGCCCGGCCCTTGCGGCGGCGGCTCACCCGGGCCGCCCCAGCACAGGGCGGGCCGTCGCCGAGGGAAGGCCGGGCGCGCCCATGTGCAAACGACGCGGGTGCCTTTAGCGTGGCGCCCGTAATTTGGTGCCTGCTGCTGCGCCTCTCAGCTCAGGTGCGGCGTGGAAAGAAGATCAAAGCCGGGGCGAGGCACGACGACGCGAGGCACATCCCATCGCCCTCGGCACAGTGCCAGCAGCTGTGGATGCACGAGCAGTGTGTAAGCAATCAGGGGACAAGGGAAAATGCTGTCCAGAAAGGGAAAAACGACCCATGACTGCCACTCTGCACGATAAGACACCAACTTGTGAGAAACGCTCCTACATACAGAAGATGTTTGGTATTTAGGCCAGGGCCAGAGAGAGGCATGCCGCAACTCGCTCGTCGCACAACCGCGCAGAGCAGCGGCGTGAGGATGACCCGCCCTGAAGCAGTCCACAACCCAAGTACAGTACACGCCGAGGGCTACGCCGCCGGGGAAAGAAGGATGAGGAACGAGCTGGACCTACCTAACTAATCAGCCGACGGGCAGCCCAGATCAGAAGCGCGCAGCGCCAGAGGCGGCTGCGGCCAGAGCTCTGGCCAGGCCAGCGCGCTGCAGGCGGGCGAGCGCGCTCATGCCGGCGCAGCTCGGCCCGAAGCGACTGGGGGCAGCCGCCCGGGTCACGCAATGGCGAGCTCCTGCGTGGTCTCCCCGTTCATGATCTTGTCCACGGTCTTGCTGATGCGCTGCCGCCAGTCGGTGGCCAGCACATCTTTGAGGGTGTCCATGATGGACAGGTCCGGGTGCAGGCGGCTGGACCAGCCCTCCAGGACCAGCGTCGTCACAACCACAGTGCTGACCGTCGACTTGAGAGTAACCTACAGGGGCGAGAAGCGCGCGGCGGGCGGCGGGGTCGGAGTTGGGAGGAAGCAACGTGTAGGAATAAAATGTGTGCCACCTAGGGGTCACTGTTGAGGTGGGGAAGGTGAGTGCCAAAGCAGTTTGGTGAGCCCTACAACGGCCTGCTTACAACGCCCGCCCATTCCTTAGGCAACAGGATGCCCCAGCGCATGAGCGCGCCGACTCAGATCAGCGACGCCAGCCCTCGAACACACGCAGAATCCTGCCCATAGCCCACCTGGTGCTGCCGGATGGTCTCAATCATGTCCCGCAGCACGTCAGAGGTGCACTGACGGATGGTCTCCGGGTCCAGCGCGTCAAACATGTCGCGCAGCGCCTCCACAAACCGCGGCGGGTCCGGGCAGGTGTGGCGCTCAGACATGTCCAGGATGGCGTGCGCCAGCTGCTCGCCGTCGCGGCGCGTGAGGGCCTGTGCGCGGCCGGAGGTGCGCGGCGAGGTGGATTGGGTCAGGGGGTGGGTAGTGCGGAAGTGGCTGCACTTCTCTCTTACACGCGCAGGCTTTTCAACAAGCAAGACGAGCGCAGCAACAGCTGCGCTGCGCCCCACCAGCCTCTGGCCACTGGCCAGAAACCCTTATTCTGCTGCGCACATAACAACATGTTGCCCCTCAGCCTTCACCGCCCCCATCCTTGGCGTCACCGCTGAAGCACCTACCCTGAAAAATTCCACCACGTTCTTCTGGTCGGTGCTGCTAAGCTCCGCGATCATGCCAGTGTCCAGCAGCACCAGCTGTGGCTCGCTGCGGAGCAGCCCGCCCGCCGCGCCCGCCGGCAGCGGCAGCCCCGCGACCGCCGCGCCGAGCCGCTGCAGCGCGCCCTGCAGCAGCCGCCCCGTCCACGCGAGCTGCGGCGGCAGCGGCAGCAGCGGCGGCGGCCGGACGACCTCGCGCACGAGGATGTTGCCTGGGTGCATGTCTGCGTGGATGAAGTTGTCCTTCAGCAGCATCTGCAGGTACGCGTTCAGGCCCGTCTCAGCAATCTCCTCCGCCACCCGTTCCTCATGCCGCCGCCCGCTGCTGCTGCTGCTGCTGCTGCCGATGCTGCTGCTGCCACCGCCGGCGCCGCCAGCTGCCGCTGCGGCCGCCGCGTGCTCCGCCGCTGCGGCGGCGCCGGCCGCAGACACAAAGCCGTTGATAGCACTGCCGGCCTCGAAAGACTCCACCAGCACATCGGGCGCAACCAAGGGGTAGATGGGCCGCGGGAACACGACGTTGCGCCACCGCCGGAAGTTGTGCGCAAACCGCTCCAGGTGGCTCGCCTCGACCGACAGGTCGAGCTGCTCCCGCAGCGGGCCGCCAAACTGGCGCACGCTCTCGTCGAGCCGCAGCTGCTTGAGGCCGGGCAGCCGCCCGGCAGCTGCCGCGGCGCGCTGCATCAGCGCGAAGTCGCGCAGCATCAAGTCGTCCACCCCCGGGTGCCGCACCTTGACGGCCACCACGGTGCCAGCGGGGACGCCGCACGCCGTAGCTGCGCCGGGCGAGAGCGCGGCGCGGTGGATCTGCGCGATGCTGCCGCTGGCAACAGGGGCGTACTCCCAGGCGCTAAACACCTCGCGCAGCGGCCGCCGGAACGCGGCCTCGACGGCGGCGACGCTGTGGGCGCCGCTGTGCGCGGGCGCGGCGCTCTGCAGGCGCTCGAGGGCGCCGCAGACGTCAGCGGGCAGCAGGTCTGGGCGCGAGCTCATCCACTGCGCCCACTTGATGAAGGCGGGCTGCGGGCCGCAAGCAAGAGCGAAGGGGAAAGTGCTTTGGTTGGACAGAGTCGCATAGGCACGCCCTCCAGCCCAGTCAGGCTTTTTGTCGTTCTTGAAAAGCTGGGGAAATTGCCAGAGGTGCAAGGCAGGCAAGGCAGGCACCTTGAGCATTGTCTTCCGGAGCCCCGCCGCGTGCTCCTGCACGCAACCAACCAACCGCACACTCACCCCCGCGTGCTCCAGCGTCCAGAGCAGGAGCTGTGTCCACCGCTCTCGGCCGACACCCAGGTAGAACGCAAACGGCGCGCCCAGGATGACTGGCGCGAAGAGCGCCATCAAGAACAGCCCGCGCGCCGCGAGCGCGAGCTCGTCTGACAACGAGCGCAGCACACGCCGCAGCGCGCCGGCCGGCGCAGCCGCCTTGGCCGCCGCGAGCGGGCCCCAGCCCCCTGCCGTCGCGCGCACGCGCGCCGCGCTGCCCGGCGGCAGCTCATACGCGTAGGCGCGCAGGCGGTTGGGGAAAAGCAGCGCCGCAAGCGTGACGGGCACAAATGCCGCAAGCACAGCCTGCCCGGCAGAGCTGAGGGACACACTGTTGACGACGGCCGCCACACGCGCCTCCAGCCGCGCAAGCGCCTCGCGCTGCGCTTCACTGGCAGCGCGCAACCGCTGGCGCGCAGCGGCACGCGCGGCAGGCGGCAGCAGTGAGAGCGAGAGCGCGCCGCCAGCTGCATGGAACTGGCGCGCATGCGGCGACGTCAGGAGGCCCTGGGGCCGCGGTGCAGCACGCCCCGCATGCAACAGGCCCAAACCATGCCTGGTTAACCATATTGAAGGAGGAGAGCGTAAGTAGAGGGGGTTGAGCTGCGCGCTTGGGTGCAGTCGGTCCGCAGCAGGCACCCCTGCTGCGTGGCAGCGCAGCGCAATGACGCGTCGGAGGGTGCCCCCCGGCGGCTGCTCTTGGAGGCCGTGGTCAAACAGGTACCGAAGTTGCCTTCGCTCACTTGGTGCCCGCCTGCTGAAGCCTGACACGCGCGAGCAGGAAAAGCCTGTGCGCCACCTGCCGTTGCATGGCGTCCCCGCGGGGCGCCGCAAAACTAGGAGAACTTTATAATAAACACGTATGACAGGCGTCGCGCGGCGGCTACGTCCCCAAGGTGCAAAGGAGTGAGCTCGAATGGATTTGTTGCACGGGTGTGGTATGCGCAACGCAGCACGATTTGTGCTTGCGCGGCGCAAATCGTAGAGTGATTCAATGGTGCAACTGGGACGAACGCGTTCTTCCCCTTTCGTCGCCCTCACAGTTCTGGAACAGAGCAGCCGGCCAGCACGCCATGCAGTTTATGTCCCCTCATGCACGCGGGAGTGCTCCACAGTTGTTCGAGCAATGGGTCTGGGATCCATGCCATGCCCTAGGAACAAGGTCGCTGCTTGATCTTCGCGCCTTCATCCTTGTTCTGCTCTGGGTGTGTGAGGCAGCTCGCGCGCACTAGAAAAATAATCCAGATTATAACTGTGTCTGTAGCTCTGTCACCAGGCTGCAAGTGTGGGTGACGGCGACACGCGGACGGCGCCTGCCAGCGCAGCAAGTACAGCGACGCAGCCTCAGGGCCCTGCGGCGTGACTGGTGATACGCGCGCTGGTTGTCAGTCCTGCAACCAGTGCGCCTGTTACCTGCTGCAGCAGAAGTGGTGGCGGCCCCAGCCGCACCGCTGGCACAGGCAAGGCGGCGCCAACTGGCGCTCGCAATCGCATGCGCATGGCGACCCGCCAGCAGCCGCAGCCGCAGCAGCAGCATCAACAGCCGCACCATCAGCACCAGCAGCAGCATCCTGGCGACGACGATGACGTACTTAATGTGGTCTGCGCAGAGCCTAAGATTTTTGTGGGCGGCCTGCGGTACGATGTGACCCAGGAGGACGTGGGCGCACACTACTTGCAGTACGGTCCCCTACGCAGCGCCGCCCTGCTGGTCCACCACGACACTGGAAAGTCCAAGGGCTGCGCCATGGTGCTGTTTGAGCGTTGGACGGCCGCGGAGGCCGCGGTCGCGGCAGAGCACGGGGTTGTGACGCGGCTATCGGCGCCGCGGCAGGCGGTGGTGAAGTTGGCAGACCCGCAGCGCAACGAGCACGGGGTGCTGTGTGGCGTGACACCACGCAAACTCTTCATTGGGCAGGTGGGAGGGGGGTTCGAGGGGCCCCAAGTTTGGGGAGTGAGTGGGTGTAGCTCACGACGTGATGCAGATCCTGTGGTGTGCAATATGTGTGCCATGCGGCGCAGCGCGTTGTGACATTATGGTTGCATCGGGCGCAGTGTGACGAACTGTGGTGCGAAGGGGCGTGAGCGAGGGTGCACAAAGGCGAGCACCTTTGTCCCCGATTATGCCGCACAGATGCCCGCACCCACCGGGCGCCCTCCCCCACAGGTGCCAGCCAGCGTAACGCCGGACCAGGTCCGCAGCATATTCCAGCCCTATGGCAACATCATCGACCTCAACATCATGGCGCCCCGCAAGGCAGGCTCCATGGGTGAGTCATGCGGCTGTGGCCAGCGAAATGCGCCTCATAAGTGGACCCCGGCGAGCAACATTGGCGGCTGTGCGTTGGCAATGCCCAACGCTCTTGTAGCGTGCGTCAGGAGCTTCATGTTGACATGCAAAGTTGGCGTGGTCTTGCTTTGAAGTGATGCAGGCGCGATGACGCGACCCATACAACGCACCTCAGGCATGGCGCTCTCATACACGATTTGCGACCATGCGCATGTGATGGCGCCCTCCCATACTCACAGGCTGCGCATTTGTGACCTACAACACCTGGGCCGAGGCGGAGGCTGCGCTCTACGCAGTGGACGGCCACTGCACCCTGCCCGGCAGCAACCATCCCTGCGCAGTCAAGTTTGCCGACGCCAAGCCCGCAGAGCTTGCCAAATTTGAGGCACGCGGCACCAAGCGCAATGCCTGGGAGATGGGCGGGGCGCTCGGCGCTGGCGTGGTTGGCGGAGGGCCCAGCGGCACTGGCGGTGGCGGCGGCGAGTCCAGTGGCGGCAGCGGCATGATGGTGTCCGTCGGTGGCGGGAGCGGCAGCAAACGGCAGTTAATGCGCGAGACGGGGCGCGGAGCTATGGTGAGAAAGGAAGGCATTGGTGGCCCTCCACAAGGCGTTGCCTGGGCCAGGTGTTGCCTGGGGAGCATGCGCGGGCGCACGAGCTGCCTTGGCGCACATCAACACCGCAGCTGTGTATGGGCCCGTGCGCATATCGCACTCAACTATAC